ACCACCAGTCACTATAAAAAGTCATCGTCAAACTTTACATATACCACGACTAATATTTTTACGGTGATTTCAATGCACGTTAAGAAGTGATCAGTTATTTTAGTGAAGCTCTTTCGTGTTATAATCAAATTCACACACACACGTTCGTACAAATCTTCAAAAACATAAATATTGAAATAACTCTTAAGAATCCTGTTTGAAAATCCTTTATATCTGGGATTTCCATAGAATTTATAAATGTTTAATTCTTTGGGAAAACTTCAGACTAATGTATCCAGTTTGGGAGGGCGAGGGATGGAGGGAGGGAGGGAGGGACTATTGTTCACTTATGGTCGTGTATGGAGGCGGCTGCTGACTCCTGCACCCGGATACAGCGAGCGAGAATCCCTTTTTTTCCGTGTGTTAAATTGATACATAGAGGACGTTGACCTGAGTGTGGGAGGCAGGGAGGGTGAGAAGGAGGTATCGAGAGTGTTTGGGAGGTATGGAGAGTGTGTGGGAGGTACCGAGAATGTGTGGGAGGTACCGAGAGTGTGTGGGAGGTACCGACAGTGTGTGGGAGGCAGGGAGGGGGAAAAGGAGGTATCGAGAGTGTGTGGGAGGTACCGAGAATGTGTGGGAGGTACCGAGAGTGTGTGGGAGGTGAGGAGGTACCGAGAGTGTGTGGGAGGGAGTGTACGGAGGTTGAGAGGTGTGTGGGAGGTACTGAGAGTGTGTGTGGGAGGTACCGAGAGTGTGGGAGGTGTTGGGAGAGTGTGTGGAGGTACTGAGAGGTGTGGAGGTACGAGAATGTGGGAGGTACGAGAGTGTGTGGGGATACGAGAATGTGTTGAGAGTGTGGGAGGTGTGTGGGAGGGGAGAGTGTGTGGGAGGTAGAGTGTGTGGGAGGTACCGAGAGAGTGTGTGGGAGGTACCGAGAGAGTGTGTGGGAGGTACCGACAGTGTGTGGGAGGCAAGGAGGGGAAGAAGGAGGTATCGAGAGTGTGTAGGAGGTACCGAGAAAGTGTGTGGGAGGTACCGAGAGTGTTTGGGAGGTATGGAGAGTGTGTGGGAGGTACCGAGAGTGTGTGGGAGGTAGTTTCCATCATTACAGTCCATCCTCATTACCTGTAGCGTGATTGAGGTACAGAGGTGGAGGTGTTAATGTCTTGTTGTGGAAGAGAAGCGTCACGGTAGATCACGAGCTGCTGTAGGAGTTAACAGAGAGTTGGTGATGAGAGGCTGTCTTATAAATGACCTTTATCATTATTATTCATTTCATTTTTACGTACAAAAGTGTATGAAATATAAACATCTTATTTTAAAGATGAGTCAGCATAGTTAGTCATATCCATACAGTCAATCAGGATGGACTGAGTTCATTAATATCCTGTTGGTGAAGGTGACTCCCTCTGTAGGAGTTGTTGACCGCGTCCATCTCCCCCCACACCAACACAGAAGAACCAGGCCACGCCCACCTCCTCCCACACAAGCACAGAAGATTCTAAACCACCCAAATCTCGTCCTACACCAACCTGTAGGACACCATGACACCCGCAGCAGGTCAGGGAAACCCAAGCCACGCCCCCCTCCTCTCAGGCAACACTTACCCCCTACAACAGGATAGAGGACACCAGTGGTCACCCACCTTCTCGTTAACCAAGACGGAGAACACCAAACCAAGTTCAATTTATCCTCAACAGCCACATAGGATGAAGGGTCACGCATAACCCCTTCTTACATCAGTACATACTAGGCCCTCAAGCGATCCCCACCTCCTCCCACACCATAACGTTGGGCTCCGGGCGACACCCACCTTCCCGTACCCCAGCGCAGAGGACGGCCATACCACCGACAATTCCCTCTACACCAGCGGAGAAAACCCAAGACCACGCCCACACATACACAAACACACGGGAGACTTTAGGATCACTGTACATTAAAATAAAACATCCTCTTGTACACTAATCCCTGTACACTCAATATATATAACGAGTACACTGTCGGGTGTGTTGGCCGACGGCTGAACAAGCTCTCGGTGGGCCAACATGGAGGTGCGGCATGTAACTCGCTAGCTGTTGAATACCAAGGAAGGGAAGGGTCATCTGCCCGGCCATCATGCATCACACCAAGAAAAGCTTCCAGGGTTGGAGGATTAGTTTTACACACAAAGAATCTGTTGCATTTAAGACAATAAACTCAAAGTATTGGGAAAACTTATGCTGAGGTGTTGCGGAGTAGAGGCTTCCGTTATAAATGTTATTGTGCGTGTTACAGTTTCTATGTCGATACATGTACAATCATCACAGCCATACGCTGGTACAAGGAAGCAGAGGACCCCCCATTGTGTGTATGACAGTGCTAGGGGACATAATATGAGGACTCAGGGGGGGAAATAAGGAGAAGAATACTTCTTTAAATGACAGGTCTCCAGATGGCGTTCTTTAATCGGGATAATGATGTCATGTTAAAAGGAAATCCTGTTAGTTGGAGGTCCGTTAATTAAACAGATGACCCTAATATCATAGATGGAAAAGTTGTGTTCTGGAGACTCACTTCCGTCGACGCTAGAGTCTCAGGAGCCACAATGAGCTGAGATGATCCTCTCGGTCAACAGGTGGTAGAAGCCTGACCCTCAGTCTCTCGTCTCTGATCTGCATAAGTTAGCAGGAGATGCTTCGTCAGGTGTGTGTGTGTGTGTGTGTGTCTCATCCCTCTCATGATGATGATGTCGGCGTCAGGTTGCACAGTTAGATAGTGTGTTTATGTGTGTGTGTGTGTGTGTGTGTGTGTGCGTGGTTAGGTAAGGTTAGCTTCCCATTGATCGTTATTTCCTGGGACGTCCACTACCATGGTTCGCTTTCACATAGTCTGAAGCTAAGGTAATGATGGAGTGTTTCCTTCCTCCCCTTGATGATGAAACTTCCCCAAATACTCGAGACTTAGTCAATGTTTATGTGATATCACTTCCATGTAAGCCGCTTCATTACCTCCGTCCGGTCTCAGTGCTGGCTGTTATATCATACATAAAAAGAAAATCACTTTAAATAACATGACACGAGCTACTGATGGCTACCTGCTCCCACTGATACTTGAGGGTAAAAGACCTAACCGAGAGACCCAAGACAATAACTACAGTAAGAAAGAAAAGAGAGAATGAGAAATAACAAGATACAGACAGACAGACAGACAAAGAGAGAGAGAGACAGAGACAGAGACAGAGACAGAGAGATAACTAAGGTCTCATGAAACATTCTCCGCATCATGACCAAAACTCCGTCTATTGTGCTGGAGGGAGGAGCATGTCTAAAATGTGACCAGACATTAATAAACACACCTGTACCTCGGATAAAACGTTGATTAACACACCTGTGCTTCAGATAAGGTTTAAATTAGAACACCTGAACTTTACAATAGCTGGTTTAAGATTCCTGGTTTATCACGTACATGTTTTACTGTAAGACTTCTCCTTTAAATATATGTGTGGTTAGATGTTTGATGTTTTATCTTGTGTGTGTGTGTGTCTGTGTGTGTGTGTGTGTGTGTACTTTTTTATTGTACTGTAAGTTGGTATTAGGAAGGATAAATGCTTTGGTGCAAGTGATGGTGTTAAATCATTATTATGGTGCAAGTGATGGTGTTAAGTCATTATTATGGTGCAGGTGGTGGGTAGGGGTTAATTGTAGGAGCAGTGACCAAGGTTGAGGACCATTATGAAGTACAATGTCCATTTGATTCTGTATGCCAAGAGAGTCTTTCGCCACCACTCGAGCTGTGTAGCAACATCTGGGGGTTCGACAGTCTCTCCCTACGAAAACAATTTATCATAGTTATCCCTTGACGTTTATAATTCCAGCTATTTATTTAATATTTCTGATGCAATGGATGTGTTTTATATATATATTGTACTTTATGATATTAATTCATTTTTAATTCATTTATACTTGTTGTTTTTGGTGGATAAATTAGCCAAATTAAGGAATGGTTTTATATAACGTGGAGGGATGAAGACCACGAAAGTGTTTTGGTGGATGTGATCGAGGTGTCAGCTTGATTGGAATAGTAATTCGTCACCCCCCGCCCCCCTCACTACTTCCTCTCTTCTTGTCCACCCCCTCGCCACCACCCTCTCATCACTCACATTCGCTTACCACCACCACCCTCACTATCACCTCATCATCACCCCACTCCCTCATCACCCCACTCCCTCATCACCCCACTCCCTCATCACCCCCAACTTTGATGATTTTCGTGACGACACATCAACTGTTTTAGCTTTTGAGGACATCCGTGACGTCATGTTATTAAGGGTTTATATATGGAGAATATTATGCATCGTGTTACCGCCAAGGAGTTGAGTGGTTCACTAGATGATGCGGACCCGAAGCCTCCTATCCCGTTAACCTACATTGTTACCAAACATCTCATGTAAAACCTAACTCCCCAGAAAGGAATTATTATCTTTATCTTCTTGTTATCACGAATTATTTTATATATCATGTATTTAAGTGTGTTATATATATAATTAGTCTTTAATGATAATGATGGTAAAGGTGTAGTTCGTGGTGTGAGGTGAGTGTTGGAGGAGGTGTAAGGTGTAGCCTGGATGTGGCTACACTCTTGAGGCAGCTGAGTCTGGATCATCCCAAGTTCGGCATCGTAGCTCGTGATGGACGGCCAGACGGTGTAGTGAGGACAGACCGTGTTAGTTAAGTGGTTTTTAGGGTCATTACACACGAGAATAATTAATTACCACGATGATCAAAGGTAGAGAACATAGACTGAAAGACTCTAACTTAAGACAAAGTTAACACGGTATTACAACTCTCAATAATAACCTAAAACAACAGACAGTATAAAAACTAACTTACTCACAACAATAGATTTTAGTAGAGGAGAATGATATTAATTTATTGTACACATGAGGAATGACATTGAGAGGTAAACTGTCGTATTATTATTGCGTGTGGCGGAGCTGTAGAGGCGGGAGGTGGCAACGAGGACGTACACACACACACACACACACACCCGGTATAAGAGGGCGGTGAAGGCCACGTCCTGGGCTCAGTATCATCAAGTGTAAGAGATGTGGCGAGGCAGGGTGAGTCGTAGCGAGTGTTACACCTTTCTGGGGGAGGGCTCCAGGAGGTGGGTGGGTGTGTAGCTGTGTTTACGGTCCTCTAAAAGCTGAAAACAAAACAACAACGAACTACCTTTTCATTGTGATCCATAATGTTTTGTTTTTTTTGGTTTTGCTTGAAGTTGTTTATGCAGGTAAGTGTTTACAAAGTCATGTTGGCGTCAGCTAAATTCTGTAGCGATGGATAAAGATATATTTTTTTACGTGTATTTAGAAGACTCGTGTTAGTATCGTTCACGGTGAAGATGTTTTTGTAAGCGTTTAGTCATCTGTATTAACTCGTTTGGAGTTTTTCACATGTTAAATCCCTCTCCTCCCATCCTTGCCCCCCCCCACCCACACCCCCCCTCCTCCACCCCCCAGTGTCAGGCGTCAGGCTGGGTGGGTGTCCTTTTCATTTTTTTTAGTTTGGTGTTGTTGTTTAGACTGGAGGTGATTAATTGATTTTAACGTGAGGGTGTGTTGGTTATAGCCCGTGGGGGGTGGGTGTATGGGGTGTGTGGGTATAGGTGTTGGGGTGGCTCAGGGTGGATATAAAGGGTGAGACGAAGTACTAATATCCAAACGAACACACACATCCACCCAGCCCCACACACCCATCCATCCACCCACCAACACCCACCCACCCACACCCACACACCCACACCCCCTCCCGCCACACAGACTGTATGTTTAACTAATTATTGACCATATAATTAACCTCACCATTAAAGATAACATCATAGACTAGAATAACCTGCTTCACTTCTTTACGTAACTAAAGTCTGTTATCTTACCTGAGTTATGACATCAAGGTAATTAGATAAAGGTGTGAGATCAAGTTATTCAGATAATTATATAAAGGACGATGGTTATGGGGTATTAAAGGGCACGTTGGTGTTTTATTAGCCGTAAAGGGGAAGATAAAAATAGTGGTTTATTCATTAGGGTGATATAGACGTTGTTGAAGAAGATGTACTGTATATGTTGATTATTATACAATTGTGCAACATGTTATGAATGTATTTCTTACTTCATAATAATAATAATAATAATATGATAACTATAACACTACTAACAATAATAACAATAATATGAATAATAACAACAATAATAATGTAACAGATAATAATAATAGGGAGAGAAGTATTTTTAGCGCTGAGTTATATAGAACCTGTTGGTCTATGTCCTAATTACCATATTATAAACTGGTTTTAGCCCTAAATGTAGGTTAGGATCCTCTATTTGTGGCCTCAGTGACTTGTTTCAGGGTAACACTACTTTACTACTACTACTACTACTACTGCTACTACTACTACACGTAAACACACACACACACACACACACGTAAACACACACACACACTCACACACACACACACACACACACACACACACTAGGTTGGGGCCAAGAACAGGGAGCGGTGCCATTAGATTGGATGGGGCCATGTGAAGGGATGGGGCCAGGGGATGGGGTGGTTACAGGAGGGAGGGTGTGGTCGCTAAAGGGTTTGGGACAGGAGAAGGGATCACACGTGGTAGGTGTTGAAAGTCTGACAGGTGTGGGAGGAGGGACAGGTGTAGGGTCAGGGACAGGTGTGGGGGCAGGGACATGTTTGGGAGGCAGGACATGTGTGGGAGGAGGGACAGGTTTGGGAGGCATGACAGGTGTGGGGTCAGAGAAAGGTGTGGGAGGAGGGACAGGTGTGGAGGCATGACAGGTGTGGGGTCAGAGAAAGGTGTGGGAGGAGGGACAGGTGTGGAGACAGGACAAGTGTGGAGACAGGGACAGGTGTGGGAGGAGGAACAGTAGTGGCGCCTGGCAGACGGATTTGGACGTGGCAAGACCGTTGACCTCAGCCAGGATGTGTGGTCACCTTCTTCACGTACATACGCACACAAATAAGCACACACACATATACGCACACACACACACACACACACACATACGTACATACCAAGACGGATAAGCCTCCCTGCACATGTTAATTGAATCACATATTAGCTAACTCATGCACGTCAATTCAGATAATGTGTAAATCTGTCTCTCTCTGTCTGTCTGTCTGTCTGTCTCTCTGTCTGTCTGTCTGTACACATCAAGCGTTTATATTCTAGAGATTTTAACCATGAAGGAATTATTGACCGCCAAGCCTTGTGTTAAAACTCAACCTTGGACAAATACTTGATATTCTAAACGGTGCATAATTATAGTCTGCAAATTAGTGGTTGTCAGAGTGTGTGTGTGTGTGTGTGTGCGTGTGCAGTGAGAGAGAGAGAGAGAAAAAGAATGGAAGAGAAAGAAATTAAAGATAAAGAACGAGAGAGAGAGAGAGAGAGAGAGAGAGAGAGAGAGAGAGAGAGAGAGAGAGAGAGAGAGCTTGTACACCTGGACCCCTACGCTGACCCCTGAGACATTGCTACCTATTAGGGACATTGACCTACACTCCCACCCTTATACCTAACCTGCCACCTCCTTCAGGGTCCCAAAGATCGCATAAAACCCAACCCAACCTCCACAACCCAACCCAACCTCCACAACCCAACCCAACTCCACAATCCCAACCCAACCCAACCAACCTCCACAACCCAACCTAACCTCCACAACCCAACCCTACCTCCACAACCCAACCCAACCTCCACAACCCAACCCAACCTCCACAACCCAACCCAACCTCCACAACCCAACCCAACCTCCACACCCCAACCCAACCTCCACAACCCAACCCAACCTCCACAACCAAAACATCATTACCATAACACACTCCACAACCCAACACACGTAGCACATTATCGTGACTTCTTGGTCGAAACAAAAACACACAGTAGGAAACATTGATAATCCTGTCCAATAGTTACTGAGAAACGACAAAAAATAGTGTTGGTGACCCTGACCATAAGAAGTACGTGTTAAGAGTGGTCAGGTGAGGGGCTGGTTAGTTGTTTCTCGTACCTGTGGGGCCCTGCAGTGGGGTGGGAGCTAAGGAGTTAAGATGAGTTATAATGCTGTTAGAGTTCGTGTTTGTTGGGTTAGGTTAGGTAAGTTTGGTAGGGTAGGGTAGGGTAGGGTAGGGTAGGGTAAGTTAGGGTAGGGTAGGGTAGGGTAGGGTAGGGTAGGGTTGGGTAGGGTAGGGTAGGGTAGGGTAGGATAGGGTAGGGTAGGTTAGGGTAAACATTAAACAAGGTAATTTAGGTTGGAGAGAGAGAGAGAGGAGTGATGGATGACCCAACGCATGATGACGTGGCCTGGTGATGTACTGACGAAGGCAACAGGAACAAGGTACATGATGTGGGCTTTAATGTGTAGGAGAGTTGTAGGTTGTGGGGGAGTTATAGGCTGAGGAGGGGTTGCAGGCTGTGGGAGGGTTGTAGGCCTAAAGTAAACCAATTGTAGGAGGTGTGTTCCAAATGGCCACAGGGTGAGGCAGTAGGGATAGCGTGTTGAGGCCAAGTTTTATCTTCTTTACCTAACGGCCATTTTGAAGACCATTCCTCCTCCGCGGCTTCACCTGATATAGAACCTTCAGTAAGTCTGTTTCCTTATCTTCCTTCTGGGTGACATTTTGGCGAGCATGAAGCTGTGTCCTGAACATCTTTAAAGACATTACTTGGGTCTATATCTTCTATCCCTCCCAGGAGAAAGAGGGAGACAGACAGATATCGTGAGGATGTTCTTGTTTGTCTATAGTCGTCATAAAACGGGGTTATGGTATGTGGTCACGCCTGCTGCTGACCACCACCTAACCTCATCTAACCTTGCAGCAAAGTCTTAAACTGTGGAAGGTGTCGTAGGTTAGGTTATTATGTGTACCCATTACCTGAGCCAGACGTGACCTTCACCGTGGCTCACAACGAGTCACGAACTGGACGTCAGACTCCGAGGTATAACTTAAGTGTGAGCTCCCAGCCCCCAGGGTCCCCCCCACCACCACCACCACCCCTCCACCACGACCACTGACTCGGGGCCAACACGACACATAGTAATAAATTAAATGAGAAGGTGTATATTACAGTCCAATTATTTCAGTTTTATCCATTTTTATATATTTTAATGAATGACTCTTGATAGATAACTTTAGAAATATATATAAAGGTTTTAAAGTTACCATTACACTTCTTGACTTGACTGAACTCATATTTAGAAAAGTTTGTTGATTGTACAGTTCGTCCGTCACAAGGGAGGTACAGATACAGTGTGTGTGTGTGTGTGTGTGTGTGTGTGTGTGTGTGTGTGTGTACCGGGGACCTTACCGTGTGTACGTCATGTAATCCGGACTAGACGAATCATGATCGCCTCGAGCCTCACACTCCACCAGCCAGCCCTCGAGTGTGACTGATGGGGCCCTGTGGAGTGTGTCTCAGAGGAGTCAACACAACACACACTACTAGGGAGATTTTGCTAGTACGGGAGAGTTAATGGAAAATAGGAAAACTAATAGGATGTCAAGGTTTCAAAATAGAGACATTGATTGGGAGGTCGGATTGGGACGGGGTGGAGCTGAATGGAGTGGGGCAGAGTGGGGTGGGGCAGAGTGGGTTGGGGCGGGACGGGGTGAGGTAAAATGGAGTAGGACAGATTGGGGTGTGGCAGAATGGGGTGAGGCTAAATGGAGTGGGGCCGAGTGGGGAGTTGGGGGGGGTTGTAGCAAGGTGGGGTTAATAGGAGGGTGTTGTAGATCCTGGACAATGGAGGGAGTACAGGCAACAAGGTCACGAGAACATAGTGTACCTACCGTAGTGAAGATGGGGTGGTAGAGTGTGTCTGTCTGTGTCTGTCTGTCTGTCTGTCTGTTTGTCTGTCTGTTTGTCTGTCTGTCTGTCTGTTTGTCTGTCTTTCTGTCTGTCTGTCTGTCGTAACAATGTATGATCGCTAACAAGGGAAATGATAGGAGGTATAGAAGTAGAGGAGAGAGAGAGAGAGACGAAGTGACAGGTAAGAACGGGTGAGGACGAGGAGATGAAGGAGAGAAGAAGGCAAGGCGAAGA